GGAGGTAAGCTCGAACCCTGTCTGCGAGCCGGCCCATTGGGCGCATCCTACCACGTTGCTTTTGTCAATTCTACCACCGTTTCATGTATCTTATTTTCTGGTACTACACACCACCTCCCTGCCGACTGGAGTGGCGACGAAAGTGCGCCCACACTCAAAATGGGCCTGTCCCAAAACAGTTTTATGGCGGCCGATTTGCTTTGCCTTCGTCAGCTCGGATAAACACCACTTCCGTCCCTTTTTCAATGTGATCACTCCATTTCTGTCCTGCAGAAACCACCTGTTGTCTCTTTCAGGGTGACTGTTAGGAAGAGGGTGCATGAAAGGTCTGGGTAAACGTGATTGTTGCGTTCCCCTTATGGACTCGATGTCTGATCGTGAGAAGCAAACAATGGCAAACTTTTATTGGATAAGTATTGGCAGTAATAATTTTTATGTGCCGATGTAAGCAGGAGTTCCTCATGAAGCCTGTAACGCTATTACGTCTAAAACCGACAGCAGTTATATTGTATGTTTCAGGTTAGTAAATCACGATTCTCTTGATCATAGTGTTAAGCTAATTTCGCATTTAAAGATAGTTAACACGTTTCAGTCTATTTGGCAGGTCACATGCGGGGTGTTGGAGGTGCTATTTTTGCCAGACCACCGATGGTGCGTGGCTCTAACAGGCGTAACGTCGTTTCATTACCAATGCCACCGACCTGTACAGAAAAATTAGGGAAGGTTTAGAAGCTAAGGATTCCATAAAGTTTTGCCCATGCGAGGACATCGAATCTACAGGATTTTCTGATGCTGGAGGCTGAATCAGAAGTAAAGAATGCTCCAACCTGTTTCTCCTACCGTCGGACCTCCCAACCTCGAAGGAAGCTAGTGGGTTGGACAAGGACATGCTTTGTTATTTGGCGATAAATAATTGGTACAGATGATAACACGTTTAAGCATGCTTAAGGTAACCTTACCTTCGCCTTGGAGGCTGTTTCCGATCCGTCAGGGGGCGTGCACCTACCAGCTACACTTAATCGTGAAATTCAGACACGTTTTGTAAACTTATTTGTAATGACATCAACAATGTCTTGAGTAACCGTTGTAAATATGTGAAGCCGATTTAAAGGGACTTGGAGCTAGGCGCCTTCTTATGGTGTTGTGTAGCACATTCGGCCACGGGGAGTTGGACTATCGGTAGGACGCAAACACTTGCATGCATTTCAACTTCACCAGGGTGAAAATGACATCTCCAAATCACTCGTGTAGGAACGAGTAAGGCAAGATGTGTGCATGGGAATATTTGGATGCAGGGAGTTTTCAGTGCTGAATGTGCTGGGAAAAACAGTGCGTCTTGGTGTTTCCTTCTATCAACCTTATTTCCTCCATTGTTTCAAATAGCATTTTTACGTTATGCAACGAGTGATGAAATTAGTATAGCGGTAAGATGTTTGAAGGAGTACGTCGCATACAAAGCGGACTACGTGAGCTACTACAAGAGAAAAGCAATTCACTTGACGAATACCACTTTCCCCTCAAAATGCGAATTGGACATTCTAAAATGAATAACATCTGCGAAATATTTGAATCCATCGAGGAGATATGAACATTTATCTTCTCTTTTAGAACAAAACAATTAAGGAGTTCCACACTCCTGCATTTACAAGCACTCCGAACCGTGAAATCTCAACGATGAGTCTTCGAACATGCATTAACCACTTTGACCCGATTGCGGGCTATACAGTACATAGTAAGTGACTCATGAATACAGGATTACATCAACATAGCTCAGTGTCAAGCAATTGTTTTGTGTTGAGGAAGTCTAGATTTCATGATCCTTTTTTCGCAAACAGTCGGCCATATGTAGAAGGGTAACGGCCGCTCTCCCACTGTATAACTGGCAACCTGTTGACGGTAAAATAGCAGGTAAGGATGCCCAAGGGTAGGTAAGG